AAACAAATTTATGTATACGTGCAAGATGGGTCATTAGTCTTCGAGTAACCATGAAGGACAACTGTGATCCCAAACTCGGGAGATGGAGCTCGTTTAGTCTTGTGAGGCCATCTATCTCAGAAGGATACACCAACTAAACCTATGCTTTAATGATTTCGCTGCCACTGTCCAAACTCGCTAGCCTCTGGCAGATGAATCTTAGGACTGGTAGGACCAGTTCCACGCAGGCTGTGCCTCATCCTAAAAAAAATCCACTGCGCGGGCTGAAAGGATAAACCCACTTTTTAAAATCCTGTAGCGACAGGCAAGGGACGAAACAGCAAGTGATAGGATGCACTGAAAATCGCAGATCCAACTTTGCATGCAAGTGGTTCAACACATCCATTGGCTTAAAGAAGATGACCTAACCAAAACTCATCTCCATTTCTACCCGGTTGCCTAACAACGGCCAACGGGCATTTCTGACGCGGTCGCACAGAGACAAAAGGAAAAAGGCATACACTTGTCTCCAAAGGTGTACACAAATTGGCACTCGCATACTGGAATGTCAGAAGCACATTAATTAAAATGAAGTCTGCGATGTGAAAATGTGACACACTTCAACGTACTAGGCAATTGCGGAGCCAAAAACCTGATAATTATCCGGACTATTTAAAAACATGCATAAAATCAAAATAAGGGCAGACCAGATGGTCATCCCCTCGTTTTTTGCATGCTTTAAACGAAAAAAGAATTGAAGAAACTGATAATGCGAATGTCTCTCTACTCGATTGCTCACGAACTATACGACTCACCATCATATTGTTGTTCTAAGTGAAGTTCGTCATCATGGGTAACCTTAATGAATATGGTGCCAGTTACACACTCTACTGGTCAAGAAAACCCTAAACCAAATTTAAATTTTCAGGAGTTGGTTTCATGGTTAAAAACTTACTCGCCTTCAAACTATGAAAATCTGCCGATAGTTCCGATCATGTTATCTTCCTATGTCTCTCACAGCACAGTGAGCAACAAGTGTTATTCTCTTCAGCAACTCTGCAAGTTGACCCTGTGAAAAAACACAGATTCTATATAACCTACGCCATCTTATCCAAAAGATTCTCCAAATGATAAGGTCATAATCCTTGGTGACTTGAAGGTCTGGAAAACTCCGAAGCTTGGAAAGGATATTGGTCAAAAATGGCATTGGAAACTGTAATGACAACGAACGGCTTCTTTTTTTGTGCAGAGCAGCAACTCACCACTACAGGCATTACCTTTCAGGAAAGTGACAGTCTGAAGACACCTGGATGCGTCCTCGATCCAAGATTGGCACTTCACTAAATATGTCTTAGCGCTCAGAGAAACGTTCACAATGTTCGTCACATTCGTATTTGATGCCTAGTGTAGAATGTGAAACAGACCACCGCTTTGAGTGACGTAAATGCAAGCTTCGCTTTAAATCCAAACCTGTGAGAGGCAGAATGAAGGCTCAAATTTAACTATCTCGAAATACCTAAAGTGAAAGTTGAGTCTGGTAGCTACTTCAAAATGAATTTTCAAACCAGATTTTCAAACTATCTCACAGATCCCTCGCCTGAAGCACTTGTAACATGTTAAAGCCAACAATCAGTAATATTCCGTAGAATTCTTAGGATTTTCATGCAAGAGGAATAAGGACTGGTTAAAGCAACGAAGAGATCCAGAATTTACTGACAAAAAAGAGATCTGCTTACCAAACACATCTTGCTGAGCCATTATGTAAGAAAAGCCACCTTTCGCCTTGCATGCAGCAAGCTCCCACAGAAATTCCAAGACAATCAAAACAAATGGTGGATAAACCTAACAGAAAATATTCAACTGTGCGCAGATTCGGGTAACCACAGAAGATTCTACGAGACTCTAAAAGCTGTGTATTGACCGCAAACC